GCCGCGGGGGCGGCTCGGCAGCGCCGCGGCTCAGGCCGGGCGGTGCGAGCGATCCGCGGCCGCCGCGCCGGACCCCCGCCCTGCCCTGCCCTGCCCTGCCCTGCCCGGAGCCCGCACACGGCCCAGGTGCGCTGCCGGGGGGAGAGCGGGGGTCCCCGAGCCTTTGTTTTGCCGTGGGGGGCTGCGCTGGGTCGCTGTCGGGAGGAACTTCCCCGTGCCTCAGTTTCCCCGCTAAGGAAGGGTTGATTCTCCCGGGCGGCGCGCGCTGTCCGCCAGCTGTTGGCAGATGTTGGCAGCGTTTTTTGACCCCCTGAGTGGTTTTTAGAGCTTTCTCGGAGAATAAGGGGTCAGACTGTGTGGGAAGAGTCAGCTGCCGGCAGGAAGGTGTTTTGTACCAGGAAGAGAGAAAGAATTTCTCCGGTTCAGAGCTGGAGCTGAACCGCATCAAAGGTGAAGGGCGGGCAGGTTTGTACCGGCTGTGTGTGATGGGGAGGCTGCTGAGGACAGGCTGGGGCTGGAACTTCTCGCAGGAACACCCTCGGTGTGTGCCCCAGCTCAACATTTCTTTGCTTCTTATGCAACATCCGCCTGGGATTTTGTAACTCCAGATGTTGATCCAAGGAGGGGAGCTGGACTCCTGCAAGAAAAACACCCGGGGAGGGGGGGGTCGGGAAGGGGCTATGCTCTGCACGGGCAGTTGTGTATGACAGAATTATTTTGGCTTTACACATTGCTCTATGGATTTAACCCATGTGCAGTGAGCACCAGCCACTGTTCCCAGTGCAGGGTTGCACGTCCAGTGGTACATTTACACCCCTGAAGCTTTTGGGGGTGCTGGGGTGGCTCAGGGTGGGTGCTGACAGCTGCCTCTGTGCTCCCAGGTTTAGATCTGCGCAAGAACCAAGATCAGGAACCATGGCATCCATCCCATCCAGCGGCTCGCTCGTGGCCATGCACAACTATCACAGAAGTAAGGGCAGGCTGGGGGCCGGGGGCTTGGGGTGTAGGTGAGCACATGGTGGTCTCTGCCAGGTGTGGGGGGATGTGGCTCCAGCAGCGATGGAACTGAGCTCACGTCTGTGCTTACAGCTGCAGCTCCCTGTGAGTGCTTGGTGAGAAAAAGGGGACAGCCAGCAGTGTCCCTGCTCCTGCCCAGACCCTCCCTGGGGCCCCCCAGCCCATCTGTACCAGCTGGTGAGGGGGCTCAAATCTACCTCACTTGTTGCTAAGGTTGTAGGGGATGGGGTGGACAGTTTCACCTTCCACTGTTACTTCAAAAACGAGCACCAAAACCAATGGTTGCTCCTGGTACCTTACCCAGGAGAGAATTTCTGGTTTAATGGATTGCTTAAACCAGAGGGAATCAAAGGATTCCCCCAAGATGAAATAAGAAGCAGGCTTGTAGCTGTTATAATAAAAGCCCATGGATTGTACACAGGAATTTGCATCCTCTTGGCCTCAAGTCATCTGCAAAAGCCTCTCAAGTCACTAAATTTTGTCCTTGGGGTTGCAGGTTTTTTCCTACAGAGGGGTTCAGGTGTTGTCCTGCTCCCTGCAGTTGGAATCTCCCCAGAATTCCCTTCCTAGAGGTTTTTACTGGCCTGGCACTAAACTGGGCAAGCAGTGGCATGAGTCAGCCCTATCACCCAGGCCCAGCCTCACCAGTGCTGTGTTTTCCTCCTCGTGGCACGGCCATGGGTCAGCAGTGGTTCTGATGGCCACGATTTTTCCACAGGGCGCCTGAGCTCCACATCCAGCAGCAGCTCCTGCAGCTCAGAGTTCTCTGGGGAGGTCATCCCCCATGGCCCAGGTAAGTGCCACCTGTCCTGGCTCGTGGGGACTCTGCTCCCAGTCCCTCCTTGGGAAATCCTGCTGGAGGTGACCCAGCCTCTCCTGTGGGGTGAGGTTGGGGTGGCCCAGGCTGCACTGACCTGGGCTCTCCCTGTCATGCACCATTGCTCAGATCTGCCCAAGTCTGACCCTGGCCAGTGGTGGGCCAGCTTCTTCTTTGGGAAGACAACTCACCCGGCCATGACAACGGTGTCAGAGTCCCAGGAGAGGTGAGTGCTTTGAGGCGACACAGGGCAGCACCAATGCAGCACCCGGGGCGCGTGGGGCTATCCCTGCTGCATCCCCAGGGCGCATCCTGACCCAATGGCCCAATGGACCACATCAGTGCCTTTGCTGCAGGAATAAGCAGAGCAGTGGTGCCACATCTGGGGGTCGGCAGGACGGCTGACTCTGTGTTTGCTGTGTGTTGCAGCCCGGGAGCCCTGCGGGTGGCCGGGGGAGCGGCAGCCCCGGGCGCGGCGCAGAGGCGGCGGCGCAGCGAGCCCGGAGCCGGGGCGATGTGAGCGGCTCCGCGGCGCTCCCTCCCACCCCTCCCTCCAGAACAGCCGGCTGCTCCGAGCAAAAGAGGTGCTGCTTGCTGATGGACAAGCACAGCAGCCCCGGCGATTCCACTCCTGCCTTTTTTACTCTCTCCCGGTGTAACTAAGCCCTCTCAAACAGGTTTTTATTACCCTAAACTCGTACAATGGCAATGAATAAACTTGAGCAGCCTTTTAAAGCGCTGTGGGTTGTTTTGTCTGTGGAGGGGGAGAGCAGAGCGGTGCTGGGGGTGTTGGTGGGGCTGGAGCAGGACACAGCAGGATGTGGTGCTGCCAGGTATGACGTACCAACCCAACTCAGTGGGCCGTGTGTGCTTGGCACAGGAGCAGGATCTGGCTGGGCAGTGCTGGTGTTGCAAACGCCTTCCCTCACCCTCTCCTCTCCTTACTTGGCCAGACAGCCCGTCCCTGCTGGCACTGAACTTGTTTTGTTCCCTGAACACACGGCTGCTCTGCACTGCTTTGGTAGCTCGAGGGATAGAGTGAATGCCAGGGCCTGAGCAGGTGTGCCCGGGGCTGGGGGAAAGATTTAGGTGCACAGTGACCCCTGCATAATGAGGAGAGAGATAAAACTTGCTCAAGACATGCATTTAATGGACCTGGCTATGAGGCTGCAGCTCATGGTGTGGATGCAGCTCAGAGGCTGCTCTGGGTTTGCAGCCCTGGATCCCAGCTGGCCCAAGTGCTGTTTTGCCTGATTTTTGCCTTCAGTTATTCAGTTTGACTGTTTGATCCTTGTGTGACCAGCCCAATAGCTGGGAAAACAAGAGCCTGGATGAAGGAAGCACCTTTGATCCTGCTGGAGGCAAAACAAAAACCCTTGCAGAGGTTCATTTAAAGGTGCCAAGTCTTCCTGCTCTGCTTCCAGCCACAGCACGAGGTGTGGGGCTGTCCCTGTGTGCACCAAGTGCTGCAGCCCGATGGCAGCTGAGGCCACAGGACCCCTGAGCTGTGACTTCGGTGTCCTGTGCTGGCAGAACAAAGGGCAGGGAGCAGCTGAGGGCAAGTGGCTGCTCTGCTTTGTGGCTGCTCTGCAGGGGCATCCAGGGTCACTTCCAGTTCTGTTGTTTTTACAGGGGAAAGTGTTGAGTAAGCTTTTCTCTGAGCGCTGCTTCCCCGGGCGCTGCTCCTTGTCTGGGCAGTGTCTGTGTCCCCTGTCCCTCCAAGTGCCAGGGCAGCACTGGCACCTCTGCTCCTGCTGTGTGCATCCAGAGGGGATGGCTTCAGGGGTGTTCCAGCAGTCTGGGCACTGCCAGCACCCTGAGGGTGACCCCCATGTCCATGGCAGCAACTGATCTGATGTGACTTCCAGACAGGCAGCAAGCTGTTGTTGTGGGGCTGCACATGGCAGCCTTTAAATTTCATAAAATGCAGGAAAATCAAGATAAAATAAACCCTTTCTGAGTAAGACAAGGCAAGGTGGGCTGGCTGGCTGGCTGGGACATGTGGTTGTGGCACTGCTCCAGGCTCTTCCCAGGGCCCAGCAAAGCCCTTTGGGTGCTGCTCAACCCCAGGAAGCCTCAGGGATCTCCTCTGCTGCAGGTTGCCAGCAAAAGCCTCATATTTTGGAGAGGCAAATATTTTTTTCCAAGCCTGGAAATCAGTGTGGACACACAAAGGTAAAGTCAATATTACTGTATTTGCTTGTTGGTCTTGTGATCGTGGAGGGACAAACCCAGCAGCTGCCCTCAGGCACCCAGGGGAGGCAGTGACAGAGCAAAGGCACCAATCCTACATCCCTGGCTTTCATCTGGGCACGTTCCCCAGCCTGATCCAGTTCTAAGCGAGCTGCTCTGTGATGCCAGGACCACATGGATGCTCCCTTACCTAGTTTTTGGATGTTGGATGGAGGTTAGCTTCCTTCCCACACTGCTCCAAGGTGGGTTGGATTTTCAGCAGGGGCTGCAAAACCTGTCAGTGGCTGCCCTTCCGCCCATGGTTCCCTGTGCAGTGAAGCAAAACTGCCTGGAAAAACCCTGCTGAATTAAAGGCGGTTCATAATGTCTGTGAAGTGTCACAGACTCCTTCTCTGCTAGGAGTGAAGATATAGAGAGAATCCAGATCCCCCAAATGTGCTCCTGGGCAGCTTCATGGCATTTCTGAAAGCAAAGCCCTTGGCATTACTGTTTTTGCTTGGGGTTGAAAGGCTTTTTGGGCCTTTCTTGCCCCTTCACAGCCTGCAGACATTTTGGAAAAGCATCTGACTGCCAAGCACATTTATTTTTGTTCTGTTTCCATCTGCACTGCTGTGGGTGTCTCTCTTCTCAAGTAACAAGTGATGAGAGAAAACTCTCATTTCACATTCTATGGAACAGCCTCAGATTGTGGCAAGAGAGGTTTAGGTTAGATATCAGGACAAATTTCCACACGGAAAGAGTTCCCAAGCATGGGAGTCCCCATCCCTGGGGGGTTTAGAAGCCCTGTGGATGTGGCACTTGGGGACATGGGTTAGTGGTGGGCTTGGCAGTGCTGAGGGAATGGTTGGACTCAATGATCTTAGAGGGCTTTTCCAACCCAAGTGATTCTGTGATTCCAGCTGATATCCTGTGTCCTCATGTTGCTGCTGTGGTGGGATAGAAAGGGAAACATTGTGCAGTAGAAGCAAGATAATGAAAGGGGTTCCCCATACACTGCACCTTCCGTTCTTCCTTTATGGAGGGGCAAGCACCCACCTCCCATGGCATCAGCTCCACAGGGACTGATGTCTTCCCTCTGCTGCCCTAATGGTGTTTTAACTGCTGATTAATCCACCTATTTGCTAAAAACTCACTGGTGTTTGCTGCTCACTCGTCCTTTGCAGCAGCCCTCGTACCACCCCGCCGCCTCCAGTGCAAAATATTTCTTTACATTCCCTGCCTCTTGCTGCTGGGGGTTGGTTTGGTTTATTTCCCTCCAGCAGCTTTGCATCCCCCTCACCCTTCAAATGCTGATGTGGGGCCTTAAAAATAGAAATGAGCTGTGCAGCTGAAATACATTGCTTTAGCCTGAGGCTGCTTCCAAATGCCACTGGGTCAAGGAAGGCTCCGATCCTTGAATCCTCCAGTGGGCACATGCCAGGCTGCAAAAGGAGCAGGAGGTACCTCTGACAGCAGAATTTGCAGTGCCTCTGACAGCAGGATTTGGAGTATCTCACAGCAGGATTTGCAGTGCCCACTCCAGAGCAGTTCTGGAGTGACTGAGACCCCAGCATTCCTGCCTTTGTGGAGAGGACCTAAAGAAAAGCCTGGTCCAGTTTTGGGGGGAGGGCTGCAGTGCCCAGCTCAGGCTGAGATCCTGGGAACAGACAGGAAAATTTGGGTTCCACTCCCCTCTGCCATGCCAAGTCTCTCTACTTTTAGCAAACAACTAATGACTCTTGAGAAATGCCAAAACCCAACAGACCATGCTGCAGGGCAAGCCCAGGCTGTGGATTGGCTTTTCATGCAGCAGAGGAAGAGGAGGAGGAAGGAAAACTGCTGTGGGCAGCACCGTGTGGTCACATCCCCACACTGTGACTGCTGAGTGAGCTGCTTTTGGGCCATGTGTCTGTCAGGCTGGTGCCCTGCCAGCCCCCTGGCATCTCCAGGTACCCCAGCACGCATGGCTGTGCCCCACACCAGCCCCATCACCCCATGCACACCCTTCTCCTCCTGCTTATTTCTGAGCTCCATCTGGTGGCAGCCAGACCTGCGCATTTACTGTCTTTATTGCTATTTGAGCAGCCTGGTCTCGTGGGCAGCGTCCCTGCCCGTGGTAGGGAGCTGGAACAAGGTGATCTTGAAGGTCCCTTCCAACCCAAACCATTCTGTGATTGTGAGGTGCAGCAGCCTCCCCTGCCCCATGTCCCTGCCCTTCCTTAGTGTGCTACAACCCTTCACTGCTGGACGTGCCTTCAGTTTTTACTGTCCTGCAGGAGAGGACCTGGGCTGTGCATATCTCTGCTCAGGTGTTTGGTCAGGCTGCAAAATGTTTGTGCAAGGAGAGGATTTCCTCTTGCAAAGAGGATCTCCTCTTTCCATGTCCCAACCCAACCTGTCGCATTTTTTTTCTGGGAATACTCCAACCAGGAGCTGCTGCCTTCCCAGGACAGGGCTGCAGCTCGTTCCTGCCTCCCCTTTCCAGGCCCCTCGTGCTTGGAGCCTTGCTCAGCCAACAGCCAGACTTGTTTCTGCTGCTCTGCACAGCATGGACACTGCCCAGGCGTGGGGAATGTTACATAAACTTTATTAACTTTATCAATTCCAACGTTGCTGTTGGCTCAGTCCCACTGGTCACCTGCAAAGGGGCAAAATGGGCTTGTCAGGAGGAATTCTAAACCTCTGCCAGTTGCCTTTCACCCACAGCCTGTCTGCTCCTGCCAGCAATGCCACGATTGTGTTAGGGCTCTAACAGCCCCACTCGGGCTGCTCTTGCCTGCACCAGCCTGGAGCCTTGCCATTGCTCCAATTCCTGCTTTTCCATGTGTTCTTCTACTGCTGCCAAGGACAGTCCGGCCTCTGGGAGTGTTCATGGGCAGGGGGCAGCAAGGACTTGGCTGGAGCAAACCCTGCCACGACTAGAGAGGGACCAGTGGCTCAAGGTCCCCCTGCAATGCCATATCCTGGGATTAGGGAGAAGCTGGGGGCAGTGGGATAAAAAGTAGAATGATGCAGGGTTTTACCTTTGCTGCCTGCACCTGGCATAAGGAGGCATTCAATGTTAGAATAGACATTAATTTTTCTTGGAATAGCCACACAATGGTAAGTGAGACAAGGATCAGAGCAGCCCAGTCAGGAACTGGTTGTGCAGAGTCCTCAGGACATGTGGGGCTGCTGCCTGGGAAAGGGGTGACAGAGGCACACGGGAGTACTTGGGTGAATAGAGTCCAAAGAGACACAAGAATGGTTTTATGTGTGGGCTGGTTGCAAATCTGTGCTTCCTCAAACCTGTCCTTGGGGGGCTCCTTGAAACCATCCTTGGAAGTGTTCACATCCAGGTCAGACAGGGCTTGGAGCATCCTGCTCTAGTGGAAGGTGTCCATGCCAGGGGGGTTGGAACAAGATGAGCTTTAAGGCCCTTCCAACCCAAACCATTCCATGATTCCTGGGAGGGAGTGCAGTGTCATGCTGGGGGAGAAGCATCCAGCAATGCCCTGCAAGGACTCCTGTGGGTGGATGCACACACATTTATTGATAAATACACCGAACACACACTACAAGATAAAT